GCCTCTAAAGTTTACAAATATATGTTGTACAATAAACATTCAGAAGCCACAGAACTAAGAGAAATGGGGCACCTGCTTTTTGAATGTCACGCAGCAAACCCAACCTCTCATCCTATCATTATGAAACTGTTTAACATTAGAAAATCAAAAACAAAAATCCAAATAATTTCTTCAGGGGCTGTGCTGAAAGGTAGCAGAACCACAGTGCAGCACTACCCTGCTGTGAAGAAAAATAGAGTCCTTTGTAAGAAACGGGATCCACCTTGAAACCAGGATGTCACCTAAAGTCAACTATACACACGAACTTAAGTATTGCATGATTTCTCTGACATGAGAAACTTGAAATAAAATTGAAAATGAAAGGCAGGTGGTTAGGAATCAGGGAGCTAGAGCTTTCTCCAAGTGGAAGGGGATCAGGAGATGAAGTAAGAGGGAGAGAGGAGGGCAGAAATGGTGATGCAACAAATTGGGATGAGTTATGATCATAGCATGTCCACCTCCACCCAAAGACTGAAAACAGACACTGACAACATGCACCGAACACAAACAGGGAAGGGGATCCTGGGATGGGAGGGTGGGGTAGGGAGGGGAGGAAAGGGGCAGGAAAGGAATTAAGATGCGTTCTGTACATGTACCAACTTCACACAAAGACTGTAAACATTAGGTGCTGCATCCATGTACTAATAAAGTTGTCGGAAAATAAAAGAAGTATCTTTTGTGATATGTATATGTACCAATTACTCATAAGGAATCTATGATGTACTATAAAATAAAAATAATAATTTCTAAATTATTAAAAATTAAATAATATTTTTATTTTATAGTATATAATAAAAAATAAGATAAAAATTGGGATTTGTGAACTCTTAGAAAAAGAAAAATAGCAGCATCTGACTTCAAACTAATTCCTTTTACTTTACAGTCTTACAGGCCATGCATATGTATTTGCTTGTTGGTTTCATTACTGGGGACTGAACTCCGAGCGTTGTGCTGTGCAGAGGCCCGCCCCCTTTTCCTGGGCCAAGTTCCTTGCCTGGAGCCCAAGTAGTTGGATGTCATGCC